GGCGATATCATTTTACTATTTCGGGCGCTTTGATTTGAAATAGATTTATGAATGAGGAACCAACGAGAAATAATATTCTATTTCAGGACTAATAGAAATCATTTTCAGGTGAATAGAATATTGTACAATTTTTCAAACAATACTTTTTGGTGGAAATGGAAAGCACTGAGAGGGGTGCCTATGCGAAAGTGGCTATTTGTGTTGTATTTGAATTGCTGTGGATGATATTCATTCAATAGAAACATATCGGAAAGTTCATTTCACAAGGACTTCATTCTTCAATCGAAAGAGTTTTCGACTTTTAGTTCGAAGTGTATTGACATGAATATCGAAGCGATTTGCAGCTATTTTTTGCTGGTATTTCTCACACGTAACTCTCTCGAAAGAATCAAGCAGGCTGAGACTGTCCAACACCTTTCGTGAAAGTATCTATAGAAAAGAGACCTATCTTTCATACTCCAGGATATCAACGTTGCTTGTCATGATTGAGGGTTTTCAAACCCTATATATGCGAGCAATATTCTGAAAATGGTCTTATTTTTGAACAGCTTCTTACATCAAGATTTGCCAAGAAGTAAACTACATTTCATTTGGAAATATCACTGAGGCAAGTTCCTGATGAACTACATTTGATAATCCAGTAAGATGGATCTGGCGAGGATGAGACAAAAAACTAGAAAAGCCTTCAAATGTGCAAGGAAATCAGGTTCATGGGACCAATAGAGAAGGTCCCTAACTGAGTATAACAATATCCTGAGAAAATCCAAGAGAGATACGTGGAGAAGGCAATGTGAGGAGGTCGAATAGACCCAAGCATGCGCCAGCCTCTACAAAATACTCTCGAAGGAACCTCAGGTCTCAATAAATAATCTGAAAACAAATACTGGGGAGAGCTTTTCCCATTAGAGAGCTTTTCCGGGTCAGAAATTACAAATCTAACACCGGAGTCCTTGGCGAATTCAGAACTGGAGACCCCGAAAGGGGCATCCAGGGGGGACTGGCAAATGACAAAGAAGGTGATAGATCTGGAGAAAATTAAATGGGCTGTAAACTCATTTCGACCCTATAAGTCGCCGGGACCTGATGGCAATTATACCCAGTAATGCTTCAAGAGAGACCGGAAGTACTTTTCAAAAAATTGTGTATAATTCTCAGGGCAAGTTTAGCACTGGGACACATACCAAAAATTTGGAGAGTGGTCAGGGCCACCTTCATTCCGAAACCTGGGAAAATCGGAAAGGACTCGGCGAAGGCCTTGAGACCAATTAGTCTCATGTCATTTGCGTTGAAAACGCTAGAAAAACTACTTGACAGGCATATCAGGGACGTATTACTGGCTATCAGACCATTACATCGAGACCAATATGCATACAGGACAGGTATGTCAACAGAAACGGCTTTATGTCGGGTAACAGAAAAAGTAGAATATACTTACAAAAAAAAAGAAAGTACTTTTAGCTGCTTTCTTGGACATTGAGGGCGCATTTGATAATACGTCGTTAGAATCAATCATCCAGGCGTCGAGGAGAAGAAAGATCGACAAGACAAGCCGTAGGTGGATAGACTGCATGCTTAGGGGAAGATTGGGGGAAACAATCGTGGCACGGGTAGCAAGGGACTGTCATCAGGGAGCCTTGTAATGGACGAGCTATTATGTGTCCTGGACCACAATGGGTATAAAGCACTGGGCTATGCAAACGATTCAGTCATCTTAGTCCAGGGTGAATACAATAAGTTAGTGAAGGGATGCATGCAGCAGGCCCTGAATATTATAACAAGATGGACCGAAGAAGAAGGGCTTAACGTAAGCCCATCCAAATCGACCATAGTAGCATTTACCAAGAGGACTAAAACGGAGGGTCTCGAACCTCTAAAACTTCGAGGTGAAAAAATAGAAGTGTCGGGGGAGGTTTAATATCTGGGAGTAATTCTAGATTCCAAACTGACCTGGAACCAACACTTGGACAGGATAAAGAGGAAAGCGGAGGTAGCACTGATGCTCGCCAGACGCACCTATGGAAAAACATGAGGGCTAAAACCAGACATGGTATATTGGCTATACACGATGGTGGTTAAACCTATGATAACATACGCATCTCTGGTCTGGTGGCCAAAGATGAAGCAGGCGACCGCCATCAACAAACTAGGCAAGGTGCAAAGACTTACATGTTTGGGAATGACGGGAGCAATGAGAACTACCCTAACAGCTGCATTGGAGACACTCCTGAATCTACCTCCTTTACACCCTGTGATAATGGGGGTGGCCAGGCTGGGCCAATTCAGACCGGAAAACTCACCGAACTATAAAAGATTGGACCGAACAGAAATTTCGAAACAAGGGGAGGAGCACATATTGAATATGTGCACGGACCACATGACAAGGAAGTACACCTTTGACGCAAACTTCACGGCCAAAATCATAAACCGTGAAGAGTGGAAGACTATTAGTCATCCTGAAAACATGTTTGGAAAAAACATAAAGAACCGAAGAACTACTTTGATACAGTAGGGATCGGCTCAGAATAATTACAGGGTTACTAACCGGTCATTGTCAGCTTAGAGGACACCAGAATAAAATGGGGCTGTACAACGGAGACCTCAGCTGCAGATTATTCAACGAAGGGATAGAAACAGCTCTAGACATCTTATGCGAATGTGAGGCACTGAATCACAGGAGGCAGGCAATATATGGACGTACGAAATTACGTCCAGAAGAATATGACGAACATCCAACACGGAACCTGTACAAACTAGTACAGGGAACAAGACTGATGGAATGGGTGTCATGAGAAGATGGGAGAATAAACGCAATAAGCCTAAGAGGCTGCAGTGTTTTCTGGAGACTTGGACTAAATGGACAAGTCAGACAGCTCCCAAGGTACCAAAAAAAACCAAATTCATCACCCATCGAAATAATTGATGTATTTAGTAGAATTGTGAACCGCAACATTAGTATATTTGATTCTGTCACATTTATGTAAACGATGCATGGGGTTCTTAGGATTGATTTCCACTCACTCTTATTATAAGTTATTACCCCAAGCCAAAATGATATTTTGATATATAAATGTGAAGAAGAAAACAGGTGTGTTTTCGTGAACAAGTCAATATGCATATTCGATTTCCGATTGATTCTTATAGGTCGATGATGTATAACTGAAGAAGAGTTGGAGGCAACATGGATCCTTGAAAAACACCAGAGATGAGGGTTAAGGTATAGGCCAGAAAACCTTCGAAGCGACTTGGACCTGTAGACATTGAAATCTTCAAATATAGAAATTTCAGGACTGAGAGGTTTGCAAAACACCGATTGTGTTTGCAAGTGGAAGCTATAGTGTCCTCAGATTAAAATAGATTGATTCTCAGTGAATGTTAAAGTTTTGTCTTTCATTTTCTGAAATGGTGTTAATAGATCTATGATAGAATAAATAGAATAGAAATGAATGAATCGCACTGAAATGTTCGGTTGAGTTAGTTCATACACAAAAGTAACCTCGAAAAAAGACAAAAATTTGAAAAAATTCATAACAAAAATTGTAAGAACGCTAATTTGTTAAGAAAATGAATTATGTTGACCTGAAAAGAAAATGAATTGATAGTGGGCTAAACATTGACTGACATGTCAATTATTTAGAAACAATAAAAAAAGGAATAAAAATGTAATAATGTGAAACGGTCAAGGTAAATGATGGAAAACATTTTTATTTAATGTTCTTTCATTGATTTCGAATCTGTTAACACTATTTCAAACAATGAAAATCCGAACTTGAAACATTCATGGTGCAATTAATTGTGTGTACCTTTAAGGTTTATAGACGCAATTTTGAAAATCCTGTCATTTTATGTGATGTTATGAACCAGATGTTATGAACCTGAAGAATCAATCAAAGTTGAGAATCCATTCTTTCGTTGGTAAGAGATGTCAATTCCAAAGTGATGTGGAATGGAAGTCGAGATAGGGTAAGGAATGTCATCAAAGTTTTTTTAGCACTGACTTGTTTCGGTAAGCACCAGAATAAGTATATTTGTTTTGATACTGGGTCTAAAAGTAACTGCAGTTATCGTGCCATTTTGTTATATAAACATGGTAGATAGACCCTGATGAGTGTAAGAAATGGTTATCGAATATTCCTGCAAGATGCCTCCACTCGGGAATCCGATTGGGGAGCTATTTAAAATCTGGTGAACTTTGACTCTAAGAGCGCGAATAAACCGTTTTTATTATTTCCAGCCTAGAAACTGAAAACAGCAACGAAATGTTATCTTGGAAGTAACATACTCGTATACTCTGGAGTGAAATGCATAGCCACGTTTGAGAGATCTGACTAATTATTTGTGTAATAAACAATGTGTCACTTTGAATGCTACTGCCTAGCCATTGATATCTAAGCTGAAAATATTTATCAGATATATATTGAGGTACTTTGAGGCACACCGTACTTAATTGTTTTGAACTCACTCGAGATTTCTTTTATTTCAACACACTGCATTCTGTCTATGGACGTGGCCGTTTTTGATCAAATGTTTTTAATAGTTCATCATGAGTTACTTATTGAACGTTTCACTCAGATCCACACAGAGTGAGGTTACTTTTCACTGATTAATATATTTTTGGAAGTTACAGTAGCTACTGCGTCTTGTATTGATCTGGCTTCTAAGCCATAATGTAAAGAAGGAAGTTATAGGTACTTTTCTAAAAATGTTCAGTCTCATTTTTATCAAAGTTTCAATTATTTTATCAATTTAGATTGAGAATATTGGTCTGTATCTTGATAATTCCAATTTTTCACCTCTAGAATAAATACGGATTCCGTTTAAGTTTTCTTGAAAATATTTGTAGACACGCTTTTTCTTAATATTACGTTGAACAGGTGACACATTTTTTTGTAAAAAAGTTTTTGGCTTTTTACTACTCCACCTTGATACAAAAATTGTGGAAATCTTTCAAAGAAAGAAAGGAAGCAATCAATTTCAAATGAAGTAAATCCATACATAGATAGATGTGTACATCATACAAAGAAGGAGCTTTCAGACACAATCTGACCGAAAAAGCCCCTGAAACAGCTATTTTCATATAAATATTGCACGAAAGAACAATTCTTTCGAAACAAATACTTTTATATAAACACTGAACTATAGAAAAAACACTCAGTTTGTATTTCAAACATTCGTTAATGAAATTGAATTAGATATCAATCACAGGATACCTACACAATATACTAAATGAAAGGTAAAAAGTTCACTTAAATGGAACACTGTCATCCTCACTGGTAGACATCGATGTTTAGCAGGGTTCTTCAGTACCAATCTGGATAAAATTATAAGAAAAAACACACAATTCATTCATGAATTACGATTATGTCACTGAATGAGTTTGATCTACTCATGTCATCAATGACATCGTAACGGCATTGATTTCTTCGATTAGTCTGCAATGTTTTAAAAGTATATTTTCTTTATCTCTGTCTTCAGATGTCAAATCATTAGCTGTTCTTGTTGTTGTTCTTTCTAGTATACCGGTTTTAGCAACTACTTCTTGTTTATTCACATACCTACAGAATTCTAGTAGAATGGCTATATCACATTCAACTGATTCGTTTCCTATTCCGTAAGTATTCTTAATATCTTCTACTTTCATGGGAGCCCCGGATATACTATTACAAATAAATATCATCACCTTCTTCGTAATTTCTTAGGGTTTTCTATAGATTTAAATATCACGATATCATTTTTTTTGTTTCAAATTATCATTTTCTTTTTAAATCTTAACTATTTCTTCCGTCATTCCGTCCATGTTCACCAAGTTCATATATTTCTTCAATTGAATAAATAAATTTTTAATCAATTCGTGAATATCCCTGTTATTTGATTCCGTCACATCAGTATAATTCACATGATCTGGCAGCGTTTGTTTTTGTAGAGCTCGCAAATTCAATTTGTTATTATTATTTTACTGAAGGAGTTGGTTTCGAATCACCAATATAGGCCTGACGTTGAAAGGAGATCAATAAGTAGTGAATACCAGTAACTTCTTTAAACTGGCTAAAAATTACTTCCTGCATTCATATTCACTTCACTTAACTTCTGCTTGGTTGTCGTGTGATTACTTTCAATAGAATGTTGGCAGAACTAGCAACTGACTTGAATGAAAAACAAAAAATTTGTGGAAATTACCAATTACTATGGTTACGCCACTGAAATTGCAGAACAATATAATATGCATATTATTCTGCATCTACAAAAGGACTATAGCTGTACAATATAATTAATGGAACAAAAGTTATTTATTGTGGGGGAAATCAAAATATTTTCTCTACCTTTTTTCACGTTCCACAATCGGAAAATTGTGGAAGGTAAAAATCATCAAAAAGGTCGAATGAAAGTATAATTAACACATGCAAATCCTAGCAATCTCATTTACTGTAATAAAGATTTATACTGAAGATTAGAATTAGTAGAATAACCTTGCAGAAACATAAGGCAGAATTGCTTTTTTGATCCCAATACAATCTATAAGTTCAACTTTTCAAACTTTGTATCCCAAAATCAGAAAAAATAATATAAGTGAGTGTTACTAACTCCCTGTATTTATTTGTTATCTGAAATTACTCAAGGAAGGCTACTATCTTTATTACTTCGATAAAATTATCAATATAAATACGTCTTTTGATTATCTGAATGTCCGATAAACAATCGGTATCTATGATGATTATACACTGTCAAATGTTTTCGTGCAGCACTACCAATCGTCCACTTAGATATTTCTATGAAATACTCGTATTTTTCGTATCGGACTTTTTAAATATTGCTTGGGATATCAATTACAATGTGGAAAACTATGATAATGAAAAAAAAATACAGAAATAATAACATAGGTCACATTTGTTTTTTATAATAAAAACATGGTTTCCAATAACGTGGTAAGTATGAATACTCTGTCCCGTTACTTGATAACAATTATAGAATTTTCACAATAAATTTTATTTTTATTCAAGATATGTTTCGCTACTCGGTAGCTTCATCAGTTAGTACATCAAATAGTAATAAGTGAAAAATGAGAATTAAAACTTCCTATATTTTTATACCACTTATATTTGTAACTAAGGTTACTGCAGTTTCGTCCTACAAAGACATTTTCATTCGTACGAAAATGTCCTTGAGATATACAATGTAATATTACTGAGCAACGGTTTCTAACGATATCAGTCTTATTCGGGTTCGCAAATAAATACCCAACTGATTATTGAGAGTAGACTCGCGCAAAACTTTTAATTTCTCAACTGTGCGACTACATTTGACAGTTCAAAACATTCAAATGGCGAACTCGAATAAGGCTATTAATTACCAAATGAAACAATATAAAAATTTCACAATAACAGGAGACAGAGAACGAAAACTTTCTTGAATGTTTCATGATACAATTATTCATAATAAAATTTTGGTTAAGGGTGTCTGAAAGTTACTTCTTCGCATGATCTACACATCTATGTATTACTTCTTCTGAAATAGATTGCTTCCTTCTTTTTTTTGAAGATTCCCACATCTTTGTGTATCAAGATGAAGAAGTAGAAGCCAAAACCATCATTTCCTAAAAATTAATCTCTCCTAAAAATATACCCCTTTCAATATAAAGGAAAATGTTAAGTCACTATACATCTCGACCCCGTACGTCAACCAGAAATAGTTGAGCAGTGTTAAATTATTATACCAGATTTAAACAAGAAGTTATGAAAAACGAATATTTCGAAATAAAATCTGCCTGCCGAAAAACAACTACTTTTCCGTAATAGAATGCTTTACCGTAAATACACTGAAAGGGCTGGTTTTTACACTCAGAAGGAATATCATCAAAATCTTGTGCTAACTCTGTGGAGATAAAAGGGGATCATTTTTTCTGTACAATCACTTTGAAGAAATATTAAATGTACCATTCAACTTATCGGTTCATTTTTCTAATTATTAGATCTGACTTCAAAAGTATCTAAACAATCGAACAAAAGGGTTCAATTTTCTTGATGATCTCTTTCCTTCTAACCCAACTACTTCATTTTGAATCACTATGCAATCATTATGATAACAAAAATTATTATAACGTTTAAAAAAATAATCGATATCATTTCACATGTTAATATGTGTGACTGATGACTTGTTTACTTATTGGTAATTCATGATCACTTAAATGAAATGAATAAAAACAGTTTTGACTAAATAACACTGGAAAATTTTTATTTATACGACCGGTTTCGGGTTTGATCCCGTTATCAAGTACAAAACTCACATGTTACTCCAAAATAAACTTCATTGTAGCTTCTTAAGAGAGTCTACTTTCTGATCTTAACCTATTCAATAAAATTGTTAATCTCTTTTTCTGATATATGCAATATTTACCGGTGAAGTTTGTAAGAATCATCTGATCACTGATTTAAAATTTGTTTTAAACAAATAAAGAAATCAATTATAACAAAATTTTCAGTTCTTACTTTCGAAGATATCATAAATCATAAGTTTGTGTTATTTTTATTCTTCAAGTTCAAACATGCAATGTAAAACTCTGTTGATATGTAGTAGGCTCTGTCAAGGGATTGGTTCCTTTTTATATTTCATGAAAATTCAACAAGTCTCTTTCTTTGTACCAGCTGTAGGCAGTACAAAATATTTTAGACCATTGTAAATGATCGTTTTTATCAATTTATACTACTTTCACCTAGTACCAAATATAGTAATTTATTTTTGTTTATCAAACAACCTACATTAAGTAAAAGTAACTATAAAAGTACCAGTGTTTTTTATTCTTCTTGAAAAAAATGTTGAAAGTTTTATTGAAAAAAAGAGATAATAATGATGTAGATAATGTACTGAAAACTAGAAAATAATTCCGAAGGTCCTAGATAGCAGTCATCACACCTCTCTCCACGGCAATCTACGGTATTGATCAGATAAAAAAATCATAAAATCGCCCAACGATTTTATTTTTATTTTTTGTGATCAATACAATAGAATGCT